AAGTCATGTAAATTTAATTAAAATTCGACAATTATTCGATCTTTGCAAGAACTTTCAAAACATTGTGTTTTTAACGCCAAGAAAAATTTCGAATACAAATCTTTGCCCCACCCGCTGACGCGAGAAAAACAGTTTTTTAAGTAACGAAAATTTCGAATGTACTAGAAAGGATCAAAAGAAATTAATAAAATAATAAAAAAATACTTTGGTCTTTTTACTTAATAACAGACATTTTATCGTTAAAACTTTGTTTTTATCAAGTTTGGGTCTTTTTTCATCATGCTAGGCTTTTTTTAGAAATATTCGGAAGTACCTAAATTTAATGATGTTCTCTGTTCTGCGGCTGCAGCCTTGCCGTCAAGCTTGCCTGCCTTCGCCTCCGCTTTTGCTCTTCCTTCCATTTTGTCACGGTATTACATCTCTTGTTTTAATAAAATATCAGATTAAAAAAAAAGGGGGGGGGCTTTTTGGTTGGTCTATGAACTTATCCGACCATACTCGTAGATGTAAAAAAAAAAAAAAGTTGTGATACAAGAAATACGAATAGGTTCGTTTAAAATCTTAATCTAGTAAAATTTATAATTTTTTTTGAACTCCTTTTAATCTGGGAGCTTAATGTTTTGAAAAAGTAAAATTTATGAATAGAAAAAAAAAAAAATTCTGAAATATTTTTCATAAGAAAATATCGAATGCAAGAGAAATCCTGTTTTGTCGTTGCACAAAAATCCGGCTAAATTAACTTTTGCAGTTATTCCCTAAATTACTCTAGTAACTTGTGCAGGCAAAAGCACGTTTGTAAACACATGAAATGAAATGTTATCTCTCTCTATCTTTCTCAGACACACATACATGAATTAAACTAAATATTCTATCACGAAAAGTGTAAAGAAAAGAAAAAAAAAGTCTCTTTAAAAGAGATTGGGAAAGCCAAAGAAAGGAAAAAAAATCATCTTCCGTCAGAGAAACGAAAATCTAAGTTCTTACGTTAAATTCTTCCCTGTACATAACCTATACACTCGTATATAAGTCGAATTCTTGTTTAGCGCGACCACTGAATTTTAACCCCTGCAGAAAGGAAAAAAAAAATTAACTGTGTATAGTGCAACCGCGTATTTTTAGCGTAAGAAATTGCTCATAAAAAACTCACACTATACCGTATATAAGAAGTGTAGCAACTTTCACGTCAGGAAACTTAACAAGTGTGACGCATAAATCCACATTTTTGAAGCCATGCTGTTTGGATAATTACAGATGTCCAATTAACAAAAAAACCCCCCAAAAAACCCAGCTATCTGAACTGCAGCAAGACAGATCAGGCTCTATAGCAGTAGTTCCCAACCATTTTCTTTCTTTTACCCATGGACATTTTGAATCATATATTTATTTGTGGCCATCCATAACCATTCAATGAAAAGAAAAATGGTTATTTTATTTTTTACTAATAGATGAGTTTAGGAATTGTATTATAGAAATAGTAAATGTATATGGTTTATTTTGAAGTGAAACAAATTTAATGAAAATAAACTTGTATTCAACAATTAAATTCTGTGGAACATTTATGTACACTATTAAAATATGTTTTTGTGTATGGACCCCCAGGGTCCATATGAATCCCGGTTGGGAACACTGTTCTATAACTTTGGTTAGCAACCAGTCTCAAGGAAAGACAATTCAAAATCAGCAGAATTCATTTCCATTCCAAATATGGGTATAAATCAAAATACTTAATCCTTTCGCAAGAACACGCTGAAATAAGGGAGGATCATTGACAGAAACCATCTACCAACCCGCAAAACAAGAGCTAAGATTGCCGTAAAACCCTTAAAAGCTGCGATTTCACTGATATTTTATGGATAGGACGCAGTGGGCTTCTCTCTTTGGAGGTCAAGGAAAGCCTGCATGAAAATGGCGGTGAAAGTTTAGCGTTCACACTAACCGTAGTGCAATCTTGTGTCAAGTTAAGTGCCATATTTCTCACTTTAACTACCCTGTCCCTTCATGTAGCTCTCCACAGCATCCTTTTTAATGTATGTATGTATATGCATATATATATATATATATATATATATATATATATATATATATATATATATATATATATGTATGTATGCTGTCTTGAAACACTATGTGTCCTGAGATTCTGCAATATTATCGGTCCTGGAATTTCAGTTTCAGTCCTTTTCCCACCGCCATAACGTACCTTCCCTGTGTCTTTTCTATAAATATTTTCATGGCAATTGTTCTGATAAACTTTCCTCTTTCATACACAGACTTCATGAATTTAAATGTGATACTTGATTGGCTGTTAGGTCTCATCACTACTGTTCTTTTTATTGTACTTTTTACTCGGTAACATTTTCTCAGCTTCTTTCACATTCCATAACCACTTGCGTCTTGATGGCTTTATCGTCTTGTTTTGGTTGAAATGTTTGAAAAAAATATATGTAAATTGCTATGACTGTACTTGGGAAAAGATTGTAGAGTGGTTTCCTTTTATTATTCCCCTAGAATGGTTATCAAAGAAGGCGAATGAGAGTTTAGCCTGATCTGTGATTTAACCCATAGCTGGGGGGTAATGTAAAAAACATATTAATTTATACTTTTTTTTCAAGTTCATTCACGGGAAATGAGCACAAACTGTCTCAACGGAGATTTGAACTCGGTTTGCTTTAGAGAGTGGCGATCTAAAAAAAAAAACAATGGACTGAGAAACAATCGACCTTCTGTTTAATCAATCGATCACTTCATTTTGTCCCAAGATGATTCCGGAATTTTAACGGTTAAACCAGAATAGCATTATTCTTTCATTCCATTAATCGCTCTTCTCGTCCTGCTACAGATTACGAATTAACATGACTTATTTCCCGCCATTTATAAACGGTCTTAGATAAGTTTATTTCGTGTTTGCTACCCATTGATTGGTGATCCTAGATTTAGGCTATCCCTTTACTTATGTTTTGGTTTTCCTCTCCTTCTTTATCCAGGTGCCATACGCTAAAGACATCATTTAGTCAACCTTGCAGAAGATCTTCTATTGTGTCCAAAATGTTTCCTATGATTGCAACGGATCGTATGGAAGAGTGGCTGCAAATTGGTTCCATTTCTAACAGGAATTATTTTCGCTTTATCAACTTCTTATCTGTGATGATGCGAATAAGTTGTTATGGAATATTTCAGATTGAGCCTAAAGTCTTTTTTTATCGCCCATGTCATACAATTTAAACCATCTTATGTAACTAGAAGAATGCGTGTAAGGTACACCTTCCTGAAACAAAATTTTAAGAGATAAATTTTATAAATCTCACCCGGCTCGGTCAATGAATGCCGAATATTTCCTTATAAGAAAACTGCTAATATTACCATTTCACTATACAACGGTTTCTCTGCAGCACACGTTGAGCATTTTCATTTCACGCTCGCTCTTAACATTGTATACAACGTTTATTTTTTTTCGATTTTTTTTTGTTTTTAATCATTTCACCCCAAACAAGGTGAGAATGCCACTAGTACGCAGTCGGTTACAGAGTGAAAGTGAGAGAAGAAACTGGATATAGGGAGGATTGAGGAAAGGACGAAAGATGAACAGGATTCAAGAAGATAGAAGATGGCGATTGACATTGCATTTAAATATTTGAAAGTTGTAGCTATCAGGGAAGCAAGTAAACGGGAGGGCGTTTCACAGTCGGGAAGTGCGAGAAAAGAAACTGTAGAAGTGGTGGTTGCATTTAACTATTTCAATAATAAAAGGGTGGGACCTAGATGCCAATCTAGTAGCACGCTTAAATTCATGGAGTCGGGGCACCAGGGGAAAAAAAGCTCGTTAGAGCAGTTGCCATGAAATATTTGTAGAAAAGACAGAGGGAAGCCACATCACGTCTGTGAGAAAGTGACTGAAGTCGAGATGCCATGTCAGGATCGATTGCATTGCAGATTCTTCTTTGGATTTTGTTAAGAACCTCGAGATGAATAGCAGAATACCAGACCAAATATGGCAGCAGTATTCCATGCAGGGCCGCATGGTAGATTTGTAAATGTGCAAGATGGACTCTGACTTGGAAAAAAACCTTTTGGCACGACTCGGTGACCTAACTTTCCTTGCAGTAGATGCAGCTGTTGATTCGATGTAGTCGCTTCACATCAAAAGTCAATTGAAAACGGGAAGTAAAGAAGGCGCATGAATCTAGCATCAGCCAAAATGGAAACTTTTTATTTTTTTAATCTCGTTCTTGATTGAATAAGTACTGTAAATTCAATTAAAGTGCAATAATTAATTGAATTTAGTAAGTTTCCAAAAGTGAAGTTTTTTTCGCGTCAAATTTTCCAGTCCAATTTATTACATACCTATTTTAAACAAATATGTCTAATTCTCGAAAGTGTACAAAAATACATTTTTTTAAAAATACACAATTATCTATGCTCTGTCTTATTAAAAACAGAAAATTGACAATAAATTTTACTTTTATTCATGTTTAGGTTTCCTTTGTATTCTCGGGTGTCGATTTTTCTTGTTCGTTGCAGCCTAACGTCTCTTTCCATCGTATTTACATTGGATTCAGGGTCTGCTTAAGGTACTAGCAATTCTAACAGTTGCTCGGGCCGCTATCGAGGCCGAGGTCGCCGCCATGTCATGTGCTTGGGTTCTTCCAAACAAAAAGGAAAAAATGAAAATAATAAATAATGAAATAAAAAAGCCCTAGAATATTTGGAGTAAAATCTTCGAGAATTTGATTATTAATGCTTTCTGTTATGGAGTGGTGATCAAACACCATAACAGAAAAATGAATGAGTGGGTGTTATTCTACATTTTCAGTTTTTCTCCTTGTGGAAGAGAAAAAAAAAAAAAAAAGAAGCATACTTGTAAGGGTGACGATGTTCTGCCTGCCCGGGGTGCCAACAACCCTAGGGCCAGGGCCCTGATTGGGTTACGTGTATAGGTTATGTACAAAACTGTCAGGTTACAGAAGAGACTTGAATATCTGTGGAGCTTAAGTCTATATTACTTTGAAACAGCAGTTCTCGTACGATCACCGAAGTTAAGCAACGCTGAGCTTGGCCAGTACCTTGATGGATAACCGCTTGGGAATACCAGGTGCCGTAAGAGTGGATTTGTGGGGTGGCGTAATGGTAATCGGAAAGCAGTGTTCCAATTTCAGTGGTGTTATATTCACTTACGTGCAAATACTATTTGGGGAAGGCAAGAAACCATTTCTCCCTTTACCTATGGGTTAATTAGTAGGACTTGTATCTTAAAATTATATCTAAAGAAAATTCTTACAATCTAAAATTATTTTCTGGCTTCAAGCAACTCTGCGAAAGGTTGATAAGCCGTAAAAAATCAACCAATTGAGGATCTGCTGGTTTTGGTATGTTTAAGAGGCCCGAGGGCCACTCAAAGACAGTTGAATATTCATGTTGTTATCATCTTGGAGCAGCTTTCGCGATACTGTTAGAATATTTATTTTAATAAATGGTAAATTTGACACAGAAATCCAAAAGCGCATTAAAATAGGGAAATATGTTTTTCAAAAGCTAAGCAAATTATTAAGAAACAGGAAAATTTCGTTAGACACAGAGAAAACACTGCTGAACAGCTATGTAATGTCAATCCTTCTATATGGCAGTGAATGCTGGACAATTTCCTTACAGAATAAGAAGACCCAAGGCAACAGAAATTGAAATTTTTCCTAATCAATTTTCTACAAATACCAAGAAATTAATTCGTGGACTTGAAAGGATTAAAACTAAAAGACCTAATGCGCCTAAATTATTTAACCAAACATACTTGAATGAAAACACACACACACACACACACACATATATATATATATATATATATATATATATATATATATATATATGCTATTTCTCCCCCAAAGTAAGTAATAACGGTAGTGAATACACAGCCAAAAATCACATCCACATTTATTACAAAAACCAAATGCATATTAATTACAAACAAGACGAATCTTCTCTAAGGCATATTATAAAAAAATATACTACTGCAATTGACCCGAATAAAAAAAATCAAATTATCTACTATAAAAAATATAAGACAGCTAACCTTACCCTCAAAAATAACAACACACCAGCTAAGTCAAAATTACAAAGAACGAACATTGTCTATAAGTTCAAATGCCCCTTAAAGAACTGTGTTCCTGATGAAACCGGACTCATAAATAATTACATCGGTTATGCAACTACATGCTTATCCAGGCGTCTTACGTTACACCTATCTGATCACAGCTCCATTAGAACAGACTCCATTAGAAACATAGTAGTAGAAAACACAAATATATTAACTGCATCCACCTGCAAAAAAAAAAAAAGACTAAAAATAATGGAAGCTTTAATAATAAAAAAGAAAAAAAAGCCAACAATATTAACTACGAACAAAGCCACTATGTGCTAACCGTATTCGGAAATTAAAAACATCCCTACCACACACTAAGACATAAACATAACACACACACTAAATTAAGCTGAAAAATCGAATCATCCTTGATAATAGCTAAAGGTATAGCCGAAAGCGCTCGGAAATATAAAAAAATTGGACAGTTCTTACACACCCTTTGTCCAAAAAAGAAAGCTCTTTTTCGAACACAAGAAAAATTTAATAAAAAGCTTAACCGTAGTACCTTGTCTTGTTTTTAATGATATATATATATATATATATATATATATATATATATATATATATATATATATATATATATATATATATATGAATAATTCATGAATTTATAAATTATAATTGCACCTTTTAATTGAAATTAAAATAACTGATCCAACGTGCAACTTTCGGATAATAAGTGTGACATTACTGTAATTATTGAACAATATAGTTCATGCCACATAGACGGAAAATCTACCAGTAAAAAAGAATTCTCTTTTATACAAAAACGCACAACCTTAAAATTTAAATTCAAACTCGGCGTTGCGACCGCACGTTCCAAAACAATAACACATTTCTCATAGGATTTTTTCGGATTACATCTCTATTTTCGTTGTCCTCTTATTACCGAGAAGTAAAAACGAGAACAAAATCTATTTCCATACCTAAGGATGTCTGTAGGAACAGACGAAAGCTTGTAAAAAAATTAAATGACCTTATGCAACTGGAATTTATGAACAGGGATCATATCATTCATATACAGGTTCGGGGTTGGTGTATCTTATTTATATTGTTTGTGAAGATGTATTCTCGCCATTTAAATCATTAACCTCTATATTTGTTTTTTGTATGAATGATTCATGAATTTATAAATTATAATTGCACTTTTTAATTGAAATATATATATATATATATATATATATATATATATATATATATATATATATATATATATAAAAAAAAAAATGGTAAAAATCTTCGGCAACTTAGAAGCTTCCTCATAAACCAATCGTTACGTTTCATATTAAATGTCTACTTCGCTTCCTAATAACTTGAATCTGTCTGCTCTCAGAGTAGTAGAGGTCGTGGTCTAAAAGAACACGCCACCCCAACTCTCATCCTTACTCTCGATTCCCCCAGAGTGATATTAATAATCAAGTAAGCCTCCACCTTTGACCTGTAGGGGATCTATAGCCTTATTTGGCAATCTTCATCTAGTGGAGTCTCGATAAAATCTTCCAGCCTCCTGTGCTGAGATCAGGTCAACAGGAGTTGATAGCCTCACCTATCGACCGGCTTGTATTCCTTCCATGTTTGTTGAACAGGAGTAGAGGATCGTTCCCTGTTTAGGATATGGTTTATAGGTTCTTTCTTCTTCCATGGTCATAACGATTTAACTGTCTTAACTTTTTGGTGATCAGACTAATCGGTAGCCTTGTATTTCCATTATGAGGGTGCCGAGTTGGCAGTTCGCTGGCTGCTGTATCCGACCGGTAGTAAGGAGCTCGAACATTTGACATCGCTTAGAGAGGCTTCTCTCAGCAGGAGTAGCATAATATCACGGTATTTGTAGTGCTATGTCGTGCATGGGTAGGTGTCCCTGCATGTATTTCCGGTGGACAACCCGGAGGCCACACGAGGCTCTGGTTTCAGCCACGTTCTGGCTATTTTGTATTGTCACTAACGACAGATCGTGATATTTATATTGGCCTTTTCTTTTTTTTACTCCTCAAAACTAATCTCCTCATGACAAATACAGTGAAAAGAAATACAATAAAACCAGTAAAAAAAAAAATCCCCCACCCTCAACCTTTCTTTTTGCCAATATCCGTGATATCCATTCCAACTTCTGCAGTATAGAACCATTTCTCTTGGAATGGTCGCCGGATATCTTTGCACTTTGTGAAACCAATTTAAATTCTTCCAGTATTACCAATGTTCCAGGCTAGCTTCCTCTTTGCCAAAAAGATTCTAGCCTTCACATGTATGGCCTTGTGATTTTTAAATACGCATCACGGCACGTGGCTTAAACATTCTAATGTTGCAGACGAGATTGAACAAATACCCGTATGATCAAGTCAGGACATAGGTCTATTACTCCAATGTCACCTGGGAGAAGGAAATTGTTTAAAAAATTTTTTAAATCATTTTAATATTTTTTCAAATTAAAGGAGTAATTAGAAAATTCGTATTCTAGACAGTGTAATGTATTTAACGGGATTTAGTATAACGAGTTTTGGGATTTATAGCCGGGTTTGGACATAATCGAATTTTGAAAAAACCTATCCAGACTTGTAAATTACTTGGCTTTTTTTTTATTTTTAGTATAATAATCGATATTTTTTAAATATCTAAAATGAATCGTATTTATGAAAATCTGGGATCGCAATGATAGATTTCAGATAACATTTTGAGTCACTACCCAAAAGGTTAAAAAGCAAACTCAAAACATTGAGTTAGCCTATCTAAAACGTGAATATTACATGGTCTTTCAGATGCGGTATTATGTACATTATTTACATTATTCGGACTATTGTCCTCATCTTTGTTGCCATATTTATCACAACGTTTCGGCCGTTGTACGCTCCGGCCTTCTTCATGTGGTATGGAATTTCGAACTGAACCCTTTATTTCGCTCACTGGGGTAGACTAGTTCCACGTGCCATGTTTTGATGGATGTCAGTTATCTGAAAGTTCTCCACTGCCTTAACAGGGTATTGAACTCACACTCTTTGGGTCCTGTCACTGGATCTAACCAACGCCTTTATCCTTGAGGACATCTGGGTATGAATTTCTGGGTATTATAAACCTAATGTCTTCAGCAACCATTTTTACCATTCTGCTTGGTATATTAGGCCACAAAAGTCTCCTGAGCCGACCAAGCATAGAAATAAATACAATATGGGAACCAGTAATAAGGAGTGCCAGAGAAAAGCAATGATAACAACAAAGTTGCAATATGAAAACTGGTAAAAATGGTTGCTGAAGACATTAGGGCCATCTCTCTTATTGTAAATAAATTCGAATGGTTGCTATGTTTTGTAATAAATGTATGACTTGGAAAACTAAATAAGATTATATGAAGTTATTGAGTCATGGGGGCAAAACGTTGGACCTCAACCAAAACAAAAAAAGACATCCTTTTTCGAACAGTGGACAGCATGAGACACAGTTATGATAAAGCGGGTCACACTACTAAAACAAATCAAGGTAATTTTTCATTACAGATACCGCAGCCATTTTCCTAACAAAAGAGCATGCGCAAAAGCATCTGCCTTAGAAATGGAGAAAAGTCGATTTTTTCCTTGAAGAAACGATTTCTTCTGTGATTAACACCTCCCCCCCCCAAAAAAAAAACTGATGTCTTGGTATAATATTATCACTGACAGCTCTTTGGTAGCTCTTAGTAGAGGCTGCTCTGATCAACAGTCACATAATATCGGCATATTTGTAGTGCCATGTCGCGCATGCGTAGGTGTTCCTGCGTATATTTCTAGTGGGCAACCCGGAGGCCACAGGAGGTTCTTGTCTCAGCCACGTTCTGGCGAGTTTGTGTTGTCATTGATAACGGTGATAATTATAACGGCCTTTTTCCTTTTCTTTTTCTCCTCAAAACAAATCTCCTCGTGATATACAATAAAAAGAAATACGATAAAACCAGTAAGAAAAAAACAAAAACACCACCTTCTGGGCGTTATTTGTTTCTA